ATGATAAGGAGGTGGTTCTGAGAGTCTTCTTTTGTTGCATTCATTGAACTTGCACACTTTGGCGCACAAGCCATCATGCAATGAAATTGCATCCGTTACTCCTTTGAGCTATTTGATGATAAGGAGGGGTGAGTTGTGCAAACAACCCTTGAGAATACCCTGTGCTTGCTCTGTTTTCTCTCTGTTGCAACAAGAAGAAGCAGGCAGCAGTGGCCGGCAGGCCATCATTTGTGGACGGCAGGCCATCACTTCTAGTCGGCCGGCCACCTGTGCAAAACCCAACAATGTACTTTTGACGCAGAACAGAGTTGGTCTTGAGGTGGAAAACAGTGCAAGTATTCTACTATAAAACAGAGGCTTCCTGGCAGCAAAACAGTGGCCTTTTCGGGTGGAAATCCGTGCGCACGCATGAGCATTCCTCGCTTACTGAGGCCGTTTAGTTTAGTTTCTTAGTTTAGATATTTTTTGTGATTAATTAGTTGTAACTAGTTAATTTTCTAACGTGTTGTAAACAATTAGTTAGCTAGACTAGTTATTTAATTATGTCTTGTAATAATTAGTGAATTAGCTAGAATAGTTTATTAGTTTGTTGTTATAATAATTAGTTAAGTAGCTTAGTTAATTTATTCATTTGGGTTTGTAATAGCTAGTTAATTAGCTTAGCTAGTTAGTTTATTCGGACCCTCCTTCGTGAGGGCATCAATTGTAATAATGTGTATGTCTTCCAACCCTATGTCTTTGTCCATTTTATTTATCTGCTTATGATGGTTAGATTAGGACATCATGTTTTGTTTAGCATCTTTCATGTTTGCATTCATTTGTCTAGCATACACCTATGGCTCAGTTTATCATTCTAACTTGCATTGTTAGTTTAATACTTCTTTGAATATGTGTTGAAACTGCATGCTATCAAGTTGTTTCATATGCCACATTAGTAGCCAAGCCTAGTAATTGCATATCGCATGTGATGCATTAGTCATATTGTATAGTTACGATCATGCATTTTTTCTAACTCTTTTGTTTATTTTGGCTTGGAGTATTAGGTGAGCCTTTACTTGCTTTAGCATATTGCATGAGTGTGGTTGTTGCCATGTAAAGCATGTTTGCCGTGGGGCTAAGTGTTTAAATGATAAACTATTTGAATGCCTGTGGATAAAGGCTAATTGCTTGAATTGGAATATTGTTGATTAATGCACATTTAAGCCCACTTTTTCAAGTGGCACATTCAAAACAATTTTCAAACATACATGAAATCAAAATGTTCCAATTTTTGCTAATTAGTCTATACTTGTGCGCTCACATAGTAATGATAGTTTAATAATCGGAACAAGAGCATATAATGTGGATAAGAATCACATTATTATTAGTAGAGGCCAATCTTTGATCGGGCGAGCGGGGGTGCTCAATTTATGACCTTTCCCCCTCGTACATAAGTTCTCGAGCCAAAACAACTCTTGGTGATGACGTACACGTGGCCTTTGGCACAAGTCTCGGGTTCCCTAAATTCCTAAAAAATTATTTAGGTGACGACTCTTTATCTGGCAAAGCAGTCCAGTTTTGGCATTTTGATTCAAAATTGATTTTCCAAAAAGATTTGCCGAATTTGGACTCTTTTGTGTTTATCTATTTCATATTGCACTTACGACATCAGATTCAGAACCGCAGAAGTTCGAACTATAGGGCTTCTTCGTCTTCCGAAATGGGGCATGAAAAGTCGAGCTACAATTGCCTTAACCCAGAATCTATGTATTCCCTCCCATTATCAAAACGAAAGATTTTAGCAGTAGCCCCAAACTAAGTACAAATCATTTTATGAAAATTGCGAAACACAGAGAAAACCTACTCTTGTCTTTCACGAGATACACCCAAGTAGTATGAGAAAAATCATCAATAAATGTAACAAACCATCGATAACCTTTCACAAACAGAACATGAGATGGACCCCAGATATCAGAATGTATTAATAAAAAAGGAACTAAACTTTTATTAAAACTCCCCGTTGCCATTCCTATTCCTTGATGAGGTGATTTGAGCTTGTATTTTAGCTCTTGAGGCACTTGAGTGTGTGAAATTAGTGGTTTATAACTCAAGGGATCATTCCTCTTCAAGATGTATACATTCTAGTGCTTTTGTACCATCTTTACACTACTTGTTTTCTATATTTTCTTACTATTTTTGAGCTGTTTATTACCTGTGTTTTTGGGCTGAAACTTGTGGTTTAAGGCCATTAAAGGTAGAGGGGTAGACAACCCTTCTTTGAACCTTACTTCTAAGGCCTTTGCCCTTATGTTTCCCACCTTCTCATCAATTTTTTTTGAGCTTTTTACCATTGATTTTTAGAGGTTTTTTAGAGGTAAAAATCATGTTTTGATGTCCCAAAAATGGAGGGGTTAGCCTCCTCTTCTTGTGCTTGTGTGTTAGCTTTAATCCCTCAATATTTTAGCTAGTTATTGTAGTTGTTTTTGTCTTAATTCCAGCACTTTTTAGGACTATTTTTATGAGTTAGCTTCATTCATGTTTTGTATAGCATGCTTGTAGTGTAATGGTCCTCATAGGCTTGGTGGTTTAGGCCTTAGCTACCAACCTATTTGAGTTGATAGCCTTTATTTCTTGCTTTCCATACTTGTGTTCACCTCTAAGCATTTCTGCAACCTCCCTCATTTCTTGATTTTTCATTTGCTTTGAGAGTTGTTTCAATCGATGGATTGTTTAAGCTTGAGATTAAGGTCGTTGTGCTTAATGGTTTAATCTCTTCGGAGGTTCATTACCAACGGCATGACATCTCTCTCATGCCTAAAACAACTCTTTGTTTGACATTTCTTTCCATTAGAGGACTTGATCTTCATTTTTGAACTAAATGAATTAAGGAATGAAAAGGTAATTAAGATGAAGTAATAAAACTTGGACTAGAATGGACCAAGATAATAAAATAATTTGGTGTTCAATCGGACCTTAATTGAATACATGGAGACTTGAGTCATTTCATACTTGTTAGTGATGAAATGGTTCAAGTTTCCAAGGTCAACCACTTTCTTTGATCAATCGATGATAGAGAGGAGGTTTTGTTGGTCTTTCCTTACCATTTATTAAAATTGTGTCCCTTGATTCATAAGTCATCATGAAATGCTGCACCGATTGATGGCTTGCGAATTGAACCTATCTCTCCTTTTAGCTATTTGATGATAAGGTGAGGCAGGGTGGACAAACATCCCTTGAGAATGCTCTGTTTGTGCTCTGTTTGTTCTCTGTTGCTGCAGGAAAGAATAGCGGACTTGTAACTAATTACTTAGTTTTGTGTTGTACTTAATTAATTAGCTAAAGTAGTTAGTTAATTTGTTGTTGTAATAATTAGTTAAGTAGATTAGCTAATTTATTCATTTGGTTTGTAATAGTTAGTTAATTCGTAGTAATTAGCTAGGGCATTCATTCGGACCCTCTTGTGCGAGGGCCAAACTTGTAATAATGTGTATGTCTTCCAACCCTACGTTTTTCTCCCTTTTATTTACTTGCTTATAATGGGTAGTTTAGAACATCATGTTTCTTTTAGCATTCCCTATGTTTGCATCCACTTGTCATGCATGTATCGAGGCTCGGTTTAGCATTCTAAACAAAGCATTGTCATTTACATACTTCGTTGAAAATGTGTTTAAAACCGCATGCTATCAAATTGACTCACATGACATAATTAGTAGCCGAGTCTATTAGTTACACCATTGCATGTGTTGCATTAGTCATGTTGCATTAGCTAGGAGCATGCACGTTTTCTAACTCCTTTTGTTTCTTTTAGCTCGCCTCGGAGTACTAGGTGAGCATGTTTGGTTTAGCATATCTCATGCGTGTGATTGTTGCCATGTCTAGCATGCTTTTTGTGAGGCTAAGTGCTTAATTGATATACTTGCTTGAATGCCTGTGGATGAAGGCTAATTGCTTGAATTGGAATAAATTGAGTAATGTTTATATGCGATCACTTTTTCAAGTGGTACATATTCGAAACATTTTCAAAAAAAACATGAAATCAAAGTGTTCTAATTTTCGCAAATTAGTCTATACTTGTGTGCAATACATAGTCATGTTAGTCTCATAATCAGAACAAGAGCATATAATATAAATAAGAATCACATCATGATTAGTAAAGGTGATCTTTGATCAGGCGAGTGGGGTGCTCAATTCATGACCTTCTCCTCTCGTACCTACGTTCCCGAGCTGAGACAATCTTGGTGATGACGGACACATGGCCTTTGGCATGAGTCATGGGTTTCCTAAATTTCTCAAAAATATTTAGGTGGCGACTTTGTATCTGGCAAAATAGTCAATTTTGGCATTTTGATTCAAAATCGATTTTCCAAAAGATTTGCTAGATTTGTACTCTTTTGTATTTATTTATTTCATATTGCACTTGTGAGATCAGATTCAGAACCACGGGAGTCCGAACTGTAGGGTTATTATATCTGAAAAGGAGCACGAAAAGCGAGCTACAGTTTCTAATGACTCTGCTGGGAAAATTAGAGAACTTGGATTGAACTTCATGATGTGAAATTTAATCTACACTTATATGTTCTTTGCATTGCATTGCATTTGCATTGGTGCGCATAAGTCAATGTGTTTGCCATCTACTATTTCGAGACGGTTTGTTGAAGGCTTGCCTAAAAGCTTGCCAAAAGGCAGACCGGTCGTAGGCTCTACCATGATGGGAACACAACCCTTGGATTTGGACTACTGCTATATCGTTTGATCCTCTTTTCACTTCTCGGTGTTAGGTGTGAGAGGTATATTAGGTAGTCTTGCTGAGCTAATTACGGCGGGGAGATTCTCAGAGAACTAACGGGACGTAGATCAAGAGATCTCAATAGATCAACGAACAAGGCCTGTACCTTGAGGAGATAGTGGACACGGAGAAATCCAAAAGGACGCATCCTAGCACGAAAAACAACATATTGAAAAGATTAAAGTCGGTTGACAGTCGAGCCTCAGAACGGACCAGGGAGGACTTGTAAGATTACCTTAAAAGGAAGAGAAAATGGTGCCAAGGTAGTGTCCATAATGCAGCTACGGTCGCCGTTCTCAGTGGAATTGGATATGTTCGAGGCACCCAAGAGGTTCACCATGCCGAGGTTCTAGATCTACAATGGTAGGTCAGATTCGAACTTTGAATGCAATATCTCTGTGGAGTAAGAACAAACAGTTGTTATACAAAGTTTTTCCGTCAACATTTGAGGAAATAACATCAGATTGTTTCCTCAAATTGCCAAAGGGATGTGTCAAGAGTTGGGAAGACCTAACCGACATGTTTGTGGCTAGGTTTGTTACGAACAGATTGTAGCTATTGAGGGTTGATTCCCTATTGGCCTTAAAAATTGACGATGGTGAAAGCCCTAGGGCTTACGCCCAGAGGTACTATGAGGTTTACAACTGGATTCCAACGTGTAACTAGAAACTTACAGTCGTGTCTTTTAAAAACAGCTTGGAGAATGATTGCCCACTACGAAAATCCCTTGCAAATACCCTCTCAAAAAATATGGAGGATCTAATGGCAAGGATTGAAAAGTATGCAAGAGCAGAAGATGACAAGAAGGCAAAGAAAGGAAGTACAGTGAAGTATAAGAAGCGAACTGGACCAAAGCGTAGCCGTGGCAGTACCAACACGAAAAAAGTGGAACCAGGATTCAAGGTCATGCAGGCCGTGAGTATAATTTTCAAGATCCTAATCTATACTGGAAAAAATTAGGAACCAGCCTTACTTTAGGCCAAGGGAAAAATTGTGCCTACCATGACAAGAATGGACACATGACTTAAAGGTGTCAGGCTTTGAAGCAACATTTGGAGGATCTTGTTAGATAGGGACACTTGAGAGATTTGATAGATGAGAAGAAGACAAGGGATAAACAGGCAAAGCTAGCCCGGGCGCCAGCAACAACAGCACTACCCCTAGTGCCACAGGCAGACGTATCATGGGTTATCAATGTGATTCACTCCAAGGTCAACGTAAATGAAATCATGGAAAAAACACAATGAGTGAGACATTTACAGCATGTCTACTAGATTCAACAAAAGAAGCCCCGAATAGAGGGACATCAGGGGCCAATGATTTCATTCACAGACGAAGACTTGGAGATAGTCCAAGATTTGCACAACGATGCTTTGGTAGTGACCCTACAGTTCAGAAAGTACCAGGTAAAGCGGATACTTATTAACCAAGGCAGCTCATGTGACATCATGTACGTCAGATGTTACAAAGAGCTCAACCTTCACAAGGACGACGTGGAACAATCCAATAGCCCCATGGTCGGATTCAATGGAACGCCGACATGGCCTCTAGGAACCATGAGTTTGGAGATTCAAGCGGGAACAACAACTATAACCACAGAGTTCACTGTGATTAATACGCCTTCTCCATACAACATTATCTTAGGAAAACCTTGGTTACACGCCATGAGGGTTGTTCCCTCAACCTTGCACCAGCTGTTGCGGTTCCTAACTGAGTTTGGGATTGAAAAAGTGAAAAAAGACCAAATGTAAGCGAAAAATTACTCCATGACAACAATGAAGTACAGCTGTAATGTCAGGGAAGCAGAGATGCCTAAAGTAGAAGACAAAGACCAAGAGGTCTTGGATGAAGTCGGCAAAGAACCTGACGATAAGAGCCAAGTACCTTTGAAAAAGATCTTTGTAAAAAAAAGAGCAAAGAGACGGTTCTTCGCTCCTCGGCACGGTCTTAGCTGAAGAGGAAGAAAGAAAATTGGAAGCATTCTTAAGAGAAAATATAGAGGTGTTCGCCTAGACACCATACGAGATGCCGGGGATCAGCTCTGAGGTTACCTGCCACAAACTCAGCGTGGATAGGTCAACCAAACCGGTGATCCAGAAAGCAAGGTAACCAACCTTAGTCTATGTGGAAGCTGTTGAAAAGGAAATAGAGAGATTGTTGGAGGCACAGGAAATTTGAGAAGTGAACCACCTAACCTGGTTGTCCAACATGGTGGTAGTTAAGAAGAAGAACGGCAAATGAAGGGTTTACATGGACTTCACGAGCTTGAACAAGGCTCGCCTGAAAGACTGCTTTCCTTTGCCCAAGATAGACCAACTCGTGGATGCCACATCAAGACATTGAATGATGAGCTTCCTTGATACACACAGAGGTTATCACCAAATAACTATGTACATACTAGATAAGGAGAATATAACATTCATCACTCCAAAAGGACTCTACTGCTATAGAGTCATACCCTTCCGACTGAAGAATGTAGAGGCAACATATCAAAAGCTTGTAACTAAGATGTTTAACCATCTGATTGGGAAGATCGTAGAAGTCTACATCAATGACATGATCGTAAAAAGCAAGTAACCTTCCGATCATCTAGCCGATTTGAAGAAGATTTTTGATAGCTTGAAGGCATATCGACTTCGGATGAATGCCTTCAAATGTGCTTTTGGAGTAGGATCTGGTAAGTTTTTAGGATAACTGGTAACAAGAAAAGGAATTAAAGAAAACCCCGATCAGATCAAGGTCATCATTGATCTGAAAAGCCCAACAATAACTAAGAAAGTCCAAATTTTGACCAGCAAAGCAGTGGCGTTGAACAGGTTCCTAAGTCGGAGTTCAAATAGGTGCAGACCGTTCTTCTAGCTGTTGCAGAAGGCCATAGATTTTTTATGGACATAAGCATGAGAAGTCACCATGGCCGACTTGAAGAGGTATTTGACAACCCCACTTGTATTATCAAACCTAGTTCCAACAAAGGAACTATTTTTGTACCTAGCAGTCTCAGACCACGTGGTCAGCGCTGTGGTTGTCCAAAAAGAAGAAGGAGACAAGAATGCAATATATTATGTGAGCAAAACTTTGGCAAGCACGAAGACGAGATACCTACCTCTAGAGAAATTGACATTCGCTTTGGTAATGGTTTCAAAAAACCTGAACCATTACTTTCAAGCCCACAAGGTAGTGGTGCTCACAGAGCACCCACTGAAATCTCTTTTACAACACGGAGACTTGTCAGGAAGAATAACACGATGGGTTGTAGTTCTACGTCAATATGACATAAAGTACAGACCAAGGACAACAATCAAAGGTTAGGTTTTGGTCGACTTTGCTACTGAGTCTACACTAAGCTCAAACCTGAGGTGAAGACTTATGAACCTCGGCCTAGGATGTGCAGAAGAACCGGAGGAAATGTTGCTTGCAATAAAGACCCCAAGTCAACATGATAGAAAAAAATATAAGAGAAGCCAAAGCCTTGTGACATTTACATCAACGAGTCTTTCCATCTCTTTGTCAATAGTAGTTCAAATCGACAATGAACGAGGGGAGGAATGGTGATAGTCTCATTAGATGGACAAATGATAGAACAACCAATTCGACTAGGGTTCAAAGTTTCAAATAATGAAGCAGGCACTGATTGCCAGATTAAAGCTAGTAGCAGCTATCAAAGCCGAGGAGGTTGTAGTCTATTGTGACTCCCAACTCATCGTGAACCAAGCGACGGGGGAGTACATTGCCCGAGATGAGAGGATAGTGGCCTATGTCAAAGTGGTCATCAAGTTGCTAGCAGGAGTTGTCGGCTTCAGCAAGTTTGTTAAGATGACAGCAGTCATGCGGATGCACTGGCAAACCTTGCCTCAACCATAAAGTCAGACTCCCTGAGAACTATCATGGTGGGCTACTTGTTAGGCCTGATCGTCGAACCCCTGATAACAGAATACGAGGCAATGTACGTAGAGCTATGCCCAAGCTAGATGGATGCCTTGGTCAAATTCATCAGAGATGGCAGGCTACCAGAAGACTAGAAGGATGCACACAAGATTAGACTAAGGTTGGCAAGGTTCTGCTTGTCAATAGAAAGCCTTCTCTGCAGAAGGTCCTTCACCGGACCATTATTGCGATGTGTGCACCCTTTTTAGGTAGAAGACTTCCTATATCAGGTCCACAAAAGAGTTTGTAGAAGTCATGCAAAGGGAAGATATCTTACCCACAGAGCTATATCACAAGGGTACTGGTGGCCCTATATGCAAAAGGATGCAAAAGCCTATGTCAAGAAGTGCGAGAAGTGTCAAAGGTTTCCACCTTTGATACATCAACCAGCTAGGGACTTGAATCCAATATCTAGTCCTTGGCCATTTGTCCAGTGGGCCATAGATCTGATTGGGCAATTGCCCAAGGCAATTAGAGAGAGGAAGTACTTGCTAGTAGCAATGGACTACTTTACGAAATGGGTGAAGACTGAACCTTTAGTCAAAATTTGAGATGTGGACGTAAGAAGTTTTATCTGGAAGAACATTATTATCATATTTGGGATCCCAAGAGCCATTAAAGTTAACCCAAACATCCATATTTTCAACCTCAATTTTTTAGTCAAAAAAGACAAAAAGTGCACTTTTTTAGTCTTCCCAAACTTGGCCCCAATTTGGCAGCAAACTAATCAAGAATTTCTGTGCAAAATACAAGATCAAGAACTACTATTCAACTCCAAGCTTCCCACAGAACAATGGCCAAGCCAAGGCCTCTAACAAGACCATCTTGGATGGAATAAAGAAGAAACTAGAAGCTACCAAGGGTAAGTGGGTGGAGAAGTTGCCTAATGTTCTATGGGCATATCGTACCACGCCGAGAAGATCGACAAGAAAGTCATCTTTGGCCATGGCTTATAGCACCGAGGTCGTTATACCACTGGAAATCGACATTCCTAGAGTCAGAACTCATGCTGTAAAGAATGGGAAAAACGAGGTATTTTTAGCCCGAGATTTGGATTTTATTGAAGAAATGAAGGAAAGAGCAGTAATTTAGTTGGGGGCATACCAATAAAGACTTTCTAGGTCATACAACAAGAAAGTGAATCCTAGGGAATTCTAAATTGGGGATCTCGTCCTAAAAAATGTTATTGACAACAAAAAAGATCCTAGGGAGGGCAAACTTGGCCTAAATTGGGAAGGTCCATACAAAATTATCTCGGTTGTCGGTAATAAGGCATATCGTGTAGAAGATTGTGATGGCACAAAGCTGCTAAAGCCTTAGAACACTAGTTATCTAAAGTTTTTCTATCATTAGTTTAATTTCTTTCCTTCTTTTTATATTTGATGTAATCTAGAGGATGCATAGCCGAAGTATTGA